TTAATGTCTATAAAATAAGTCATTAAGCCTTGCAGTTGACTTGGCCAAGGGACAGGAGTTGCCTAATATAAAAAAATGAAACACTGTGTGGGCTTAGTAGCAGCTGTTTTGGAAGCTTCAGGACATCAGTGAAAATTTAAATTTGCTTTTACTTCTGAAAATACACTGGCTTCTAAGATAGGTTGCAACCCTTTCAGTTATAAAGATCCCATTTTAACTTTTTTTTTTTTTTTAAATGTTTGGGGTCTGAGCAAGGGGAAGGCTGGAGTTACTGAGATAGGAAAAGTGTGGGAAGAGTGGATTGAAGGTGAAGACCACGCTGGATTCAAGTGCCTACTAGGTATCCAAGGGCTGGCATTCACCAGGAAGGTGGATAAATGAATTTGGAATCCAGAAGGTTCTGTCATCGATTTTTCACATTTATATCATAAATTCACTCAATTAATTTTTAAAAGTTTTCCACTACATGAGGTTGGTTACTATTTTCTTTTCCATGTGAACAACAAACTCTCTCAGCACCATTTATTGAGTGGCACAATCCTTCCCCACAAAGCCATCATCAAATTTTTATATAGGTATGGGTCTGTTTCTGGGATCTCTATCCTGGTCCATCTGTCTTTTGTCAATTCCCTGCAAATTACCACACTGCCCTGATTACTATACCTACAATGAATCTTTAGTTGGCAAGCCTCTCCACCTTATTTTTCTTCCTTCAGATTATCCTGAACCTTTGCTTTCCCATACAGATTTAGACTCATTAAGCTTGACAAATAATCTTGTCAGGATTTTGATGGGGGTGGAGGGAAACTGACTTTGTGATTTGAATCTTCCTGTCCAAAATGTAGTCTACCTCTTGAAATACCATAGTCCCCCCACTTCTTCGTGGTTTCATGGCCCACAGTTTCATAGTTAATTGCAGTCAACGGCAGTTAGAAAATACTAAATGGAAAATTCCAGAAATAAACAATCTATAAATTTATAATTGCATGCCATTCTGAGTAGCAAGATGAAATTACATGCCATTCCACCCCGTCCTGCCCAGGAATTGTCCAGCAGACCCACACTGTAGATGCTGCTGCCCGTGAGTCACCTAGAATTAGATCTGATAACTGCACTCTGTTACCAGATCGACTGTCACTGCATCACAGTACTTTGTTTGGTTCAAAGTGCAAGAGCAGTGATGCTGGTAATTCAGATATGCTGAAGAGAAGCCGTAAAAGGCTTCCTTTACGTGAAAAGGTGAAAATTCTCAACTTAATGATGAAAAAATAAATTGTATGCTGAGGTTGCTAAGATCTAGGGTAAGAAGAAATCTTTAATCTGTGAAATTTTGAAAATGGAAAAAAAATTCGTGCTAGTTGTCCTGTCGCACCTCAAACTACAAAAGTTACAGTCACAGTGCATAGTAAATGCTTAGTTAAGATGGAAAAGCCATTACATTTGTAGGTGGAAGGCATGAACAAAAATGTGTTCTGACTAGTAATAATTGGATGTGGTACTATCCTCAGTTTCAGGCATTCACTGGGGGTCTTGGAATATATTTCCCTCAGATAAGGGAGGGGGGCGGCTACTGTATTTAGGCTTTCCTTAATGTCTTTCAATAGTTGACAATTTACCCCATAATGAGTTTGGAGTTATTTTGTCAGTTTTATACTAGGTACTTTATATTCTTTGGCATGGGCATAAATAGAAAAATGTTTTCTGTTCATTGTTAGTATATAAAAATGCAATGGGTTTTTGCTCAATGACTTTATAGCCAGGAATTTTAAACTTCTGTATTCATTCTAATTCATATTCCTGCCAATTTTCTAAGTAGAGAATATATCACCTGCAAAAAATGACAATTCCTTTCAAATCCTAGTACATTTTATTGCTTTTGCTCTCCCTTACTGCAATAGCTAGGATCTCATGACAACAGACATCCTTATTTATTATACAGGGATTGTTTTAATATTTTATCATTACATATGGTGTTTGTTAAAGGTTTTTACACATATGAGAATCATCTTATATTCTTATTTTGTTAAGAATTATTACTAAGAATATTGCATTTTATCAAATGATTTTGTCTTTATTGAGAAGATTACATTTTCTCCTTTGTTAATTTGATGAATTAGACTAATCCATTTTCTAATATTAAACCAATCTTGAATACCATGATCAATTAATCATAATCATATCTTTTTAGTTCATTATTAGATTCCTTTCCTATTTTTTTTTTTAGAATTTTTACATCCATGTTCATGAGCAAGGCATGAATGTTAATTTCATTTCTCTTTCTATGTGAGATTGGCCATTAACTTTCCTTTCTTGTATTGTCTTTGTCTTATTTTGATATTAACATTATGCTAGCCTCATAAAGTAAGCTAAAAAGTATTCTTTTTCTGCTTCCAAGAACTTGTATTTATTTGGGACATACCCAATCCCTGAATGTTTGGTAGGACTGCTTGTAAAGACAGTTGTGCCTACCATTTTATTGGTGGGAGGATTTAAAATTAACAATTCAATTTAATGGGTTTCTATCATTTCTTTTTTTTTTTTTTTTTTTTTGAGACGGAGTCTCGCTCTGTTGCCCAGGCTGGAGTGCAGTGGCACGATCTCTGCTCACTGCAAGCTCCGCCCCCCAGGTTCACGCCATTCTCCTGCCTCAGCCTCCTGAGTAGCTGGGACTACAGGCGCCTGCCACCATGCCCGGCTAATTTTTTTTTTTTGTATTTTTAGTAGAGATGGGGTTTCACTGTGTTAGCCAGGATGGTCTCGATCTCTTGACCTCGTGATCCGCCCGTCTCGGCCTCCCAAAGCGCTGGCATTACAGGCGTGAGCCACCGTGCCCGGCCTCTATCATTTCTTAAGTTGATTTTAAGAAACTTTTCTGGGACCCCATATTTTCAAATTTATTGGCATACAGTTTTTTTTTATACAGGTCCCCAATCCCTTTAAATTCACAAAGCCCTAAAAACTGGAAGCAGCAAAATTGGACTTGAAGTGACATGAGGTTACTCTACAGTCTTGATCCCATATATAAAATATTCTTACATTTTTACCACAGATATCCTAACGTATGTAATCATGGGAAATCTCTCCAGCCCTCATGGGTGGAATTCAATATTTCATCAATGGATGAAACTAATTTTTAAAATTCTGCATTCTGAAACACAACTAGTCACAAGGGATTTAGTTAAAGGATTGTGGATCTATAATACCCTTTTATTACCTGCTTAACCTCAGCAATATCTGTAGTTATTATGTCCTTTTCACATTACTTTGAAAGTTTTCCTTTTTTTCCTGATTAATCTTGTCAGAAGTTTTTTCTTTCTTTAGGCTTTTTAAAGAACCAACTTTTGGCTTTGTTTATCCTCTACCAGATGCTTGTTTTCTGTTTCATTAATGTGCTCTCTTGTCCTTTATTTCCAGTTTTCCTTGAGCTGATTCGACTGTTCTTGTTCTACCTTGGAGGTAAACTCTGAACTTTATTTCAGGTCTTTCTTCTCTTCTAAGTATTTAAGGTTGTTAAGTTCCCTCTAAAACCTGCTATTTTGTTAATCTATTTCTGCATAACAGGTTATCCCAAATTTAGTGGCTACGCTGTTTTATTTGCTCATGATTCTATGGGTGAGAAATTCAGACTGGGTACAGTAGGGGTATCTGTTGGGGCAAGAACCTCCAAGATGGTTTTTTACCCTCATGTGTCTTGTGCCTCAGTGAGGGTGGCCCAAAGGGGCTGGGGTGCGCCGGGAAGGGTGACATGGGGCCTTCCTTCTTGCTGGAGGCTGCGCTCCTCAGTTCTCCTCTAGGCAGACGCACGCTTCTCTCTTATGATATGGCCTCTCTGGGTGTTATGTCCAGTAGAGTAGACAGAATTTTTACGTGGTAGTGCAAGGTTCGAAGAGCACAAAACTGAAAGCTTCCAGCAAGGGCTCGAACTAGGGTGAGGCCAGAGGGACCCAGGGTTCAAAAATGGAAGGAGCTGTTCACTCTCAGGTTCATGCAGGGGCCCTAGCTGGGAGTGAGTACCCAGGATGTCCCTCGTGCCTCCCCTGGGTCAGCCCTGCTGTCAGGCCATCTTAACACTTGGGCCTGGGACCAGGACAGCCCCACTTCCATCACCTTCTATCGGGGGAGTCACAGGCTCAGCAAAGATGGAAAACGTGGAGACTACAGCAGGGAGAACGACACAAAAAGGCACAGGGAATACAGGGAGGCGAGAGAGTCTCCAGTGCTCTACCAGTTCTACTGACTTTCACTTTATCTATTTTAGAACCGTGTCATTAGAAGCATGTAAGTTTAAAGCTGTCTTAGGTCTCCCAAGAACAGTTTTATCCTTATATAGTGACCCTCTTTACCTGTAGGGAGCTTTTCATCCTGAACTATATGCTGTCTGCTGCTGATATAGCAATAGTAGCCCTTGTTTTGGTTGAGATTTTGGGTGGCATATCTTTTTTTCCTGATACTTTGACTTTAAATATTTCTGTGACTTTATACATTAGGTCTGTCTCATAAATAGAATATCAGTTTTGTTTTGTATTCAGCCAATCTGCCCATCTTAATCTTTTAATGGAAGAATTTTGTCCAGATGCATTTATTATGATTACTGATGTAGTAAAACTTATTTTCTTATTCTGTGATTTTAATACATCCTATGCTTTTTGTTTCTGTTTTCCTGCTCTTGTCTTGTCCTCTTAGATTCAGGGTTCGTTTTAAATTTCTCATTCCATTTTTCCCTCTATAGATCAGAAGTTATCATCTCTACACCTATTCTTTTAATGATGATCTTAACCATGTTAACATATATTCCTAACAGTCTTTACTGTCTGTTCCAGTTATCAACTGATGTGTAATAAACTACCCCAAACCTTAGTGGCTTTAAGTAACAATTATTATCTCTCACGGTTCTGTGGGCTGCCTGGGTTGAACTAAGCAGTTTTTGCGTGGTATCTCAGGCTATCAAATGGCAGCAGTGGCTAAAGCCATCTGAAGACTCAGTGTCTAAGACAGCTTACTTGCATGGTTGGCAGCTGGTGGCAGTTGCCAGCGGGGAGCTCAGCAGAGGTTGTCAAATGAAGCACCCACAGGGAGCCATGTGACTGGAGCTTTCATCAGTGCGGCATCGGGTTCTGAGAAGGAGCACTTCCAGAGACCCACTGGAAGTTGCAAGACTTCTTATGTCTCAGACTTGAAGTCAAATAGGGTCTCACTTCTGCTGCTTTCCATTGGTTGCATAGGGTGAGCCATGATTCTCTGTGAGAACAGACTACACAACTGCCTAAGTGACAGGATGTGCGGCTCACAGGAGCCGGGGGAGTCTGTTTGCATACCACTTACCACGCCCTCCATCTTGAATAAAACCTGAAGAATTCTTTCATTCTAATCATGTTCCTCCCAATTTATATGCTGTTTTTGTCCTGAATCTTAGTTTTAACATATGGTTTATACCTCACAAATCAGTCATTTTCAATATTATTGTTTTATGCCAGTCATACTTCTTCTTAGATTTACCTACATATTTGCCATATTTTTGTTGACATTCCTTCTTGTGTTTTGAGCTTTCTAGCTGAGGTATTCTCTGTTCTTCCAAGAGCATATTCTGAGGAATTTCCTCCATTCAGAGTCTATTGGTAAATGAGTTAGGTTTTTGTTTGCCAGAAAATGCATTTATTTTCTCCCAGGTCCCGCTAGGAATTGTTTCACTGGGTGAAATGGTGTCACAATTCTAAATTGATGTTATTTTTCTCTCCATTATTGAAGATATTCTACTATCTTCTGACTACTATTGTGGCTCCTAAGAAATCTATTAGTCTAATCTTTAGTTCTTTGCAGGCAACTTGGCTTTTTTTTTTCCTCTGTTATTTTTCAGATCTTTTTAGCTGTAATGTTTTGCTGTTTCATTATGATGTGCTCAATTGTGGATTTCTCTGTGTATTTATCCCCTTTGGGATTCACTGAGTTTTCCAGATGTAAGAAGTGTGCTTTCCAACAATTCTGAAAAACTCTCAGCCATTCTCTCTTCAAATAGTCACCCTCTGGCTTCCTATTATCTCCTAAAAGTCTAACTAGACTAGGACTCATGCTTCATTCATATTTTTTCTCTCTCTTTGTGTTGAACTCTAGGTAATTTACTGGTATTGATCCTCCAGCTCGTTACTTCTGTCTTCAACTGTGTCTATGAATGATGTTTAATTCATCTACAGAGCTTTTAATTTCAATTACATTTTAATTTCTAGATGGTCTTTTTCACTTTTGTTTAAATATTATTCATTTTTATAATTTTTTACTTTTTTTTTTTTTTTAAAGACAGAGTCTCACTGTGTTGCCCAGGCTGGAGTGCAGTGGTATAATCTCGGCTCACTGAAACCTCGGCCTCCCAAGTTCAAGAGATTCTCCTGTCTCAGCCTCTTGAGTAGCTGGGACTACAGGTGTGCACCACCACTCCTGGCTAATTTTTTGTATTTTTGGTAGAGATGGGGTTTCGCCATATAGGCCAGGTTGGTCTCAAACTCCTGACCACTCCTGACCTCGGGAGATCCGCCCACCTCAGCATCCCAGATTTTTTTAGTCTTTAATCTTTTTTTTTTTTTTTTTTTTTTGAGACAGAGTCTCGCTCTGTCACCTCGGCTGGAGTGCAGTGGTGCGATCTCGGCTCACTGTAAACTCTGCCTCCCGTGTTCAAGTGACTCTCCTGTCTCAGCGTCCCAAGTAATGGGACTACAGGCATGTGCCACCACACTCAGCTAATTTTTGTATTTTTAGTAGAGATGGGATTTCACCTGTTGGCCAGGCTGGTCTTGAACTCCTGGCCTCAGGTGATCCACCTGCCTTGGCCTCTCAAAATGCTGGGATTACAGGTGTGAGCCACTGCACCCAACCAAAATTGTGAACATTTTTGAATTTAGTTATGTACTTACAGAAGATAGATGATATTTAGCTCCCCAAACAGCTTGCAGGTAAATTTTCTAATAAGGCTTTTGATACAATAAATATCCTGTGATTCTGTTCTTCGGCAATGAACGACTTCTGCCTTTCCTCTTGGAGACGTGAGTACTGACATTTTTTATCCTGTCCCCAAAAGAGAGAAAAAAGTCCACTATTAATCTGATATGACAAGCCAGTTTGGTTATAATTGCACAAAATTGGACATTAATTCAATTTCCATATGGTCAGAATGAACATGGTGTGGGAATACTGGTGTGACACGTTTTCCCCTGGGTGTAGTCTGTGATGCTGTCACTGCAAACCAGCTGATGTTTCTCCATAGGAGAACGAAGTTTCTGAGAACTGGCCTGTTTAGAAGTTTCTGCAACTATATTCTTTGTTTCCAACAAAGCTGCTAAAAACATTATAACAATAGAATTGGAAAAACATTGAAAGGAATTATTTATGGATTCAGGGTCCTCTTATATTTAATCGGCCATGATGGCATGTGGTCAAGAGTTACTGGGGAAATATTGACAGCTGCTGCCTCTGTTCTTAATAGAGTTCTCCAAACTGGAGCCCTGAAGATCAGCAGTCTTGAGAGATATTTTGAGACCAAAAACGTTCCGTAGTTAAGAGTAGGAAATGCTCGCAATAGGCTTCCTGAAGGGCCACCAGGACCATTAACATCTTTGAGAGGTTCCATAATAAAGCAACTTGTTTTCTTTGTATAACCCAGCCTTTCCCACAGAATCTCTAACGACAGCAACAGTGGAGAATCTAATGTTCCCGACGGACACTTTGGGAAATGCTGTTGACAAAAACAGTAGGTCACAAAATGATTTCAATTTCTCTCTCATTATCTCAATTTCTGTAAGTCTCTCTTTCTTCTCTCTTTCCCTCCCTTCTTTCCTTTGGAGGGAAAACAATTTTATTATATACTAGCCAGTGAGCTCAAAACAGGGAAAACAATGAAGGAGAAATTAATAATGTCTAGACTCCTATCAAAGCTAGCCATAAACATTGTCATTCCTTGTTTTGGTTTCAAATTGAAAGCAAAATTGGAATGAGACATCTTGTTTGTGAAACATATAAACTAATGCTACAAGTATATAAAAATTCTGAACAAAATAAGAAAGTATAAATAATTACATAACTGAATTTGGTAATAAGAAAAGAAGAAAGAAAGCGAGCAAGGGAAATTCTCCAACCAGGGGGCAATGATGTGAGCAGTACCTCAGGAAGTGATCAGATCTGACACAGGTTTTGGGGGTAGAACGGCCCTCACTCCAAACAGAGAATTAAAAAATTAAACCATGCATCTACTTGGAACTTTGGAAGGGCCCCTCAGTAAGCAAGGGGGCTAGAAAAATTAAACTCACCAGCCCAAGAAAGTGACAAGCTTTCTCTACGCAAAGCTCTATGTAGAAAACAAAACAAAAATACTGCTGAGAAGTCCAAATTCTAGACTAAAGTGGGTATGGCATTCTAGTCCACATAATCTGTGTATTGTGGAAGTCACCAAGAACTTTAGATGATAGACTCTGAAACAGACTATAAACTAAGTATGTTTATAATAAAGAAATATACAAAGAGAAACAAAAGTCATGAGAAGAGAACAGGTCATTATTTTAAAAAGAACAGAACCTTAAAAAATGAAATATGTGGTTATTGAAATTTAAACTAAGAGGACGGATTAAAAACAGAGAAGAATAAAGAAAATAAACTGGAAGATACTTATGAACAAATTATCTAGAAAGAAGCACACAGAAATAGAAAATACAGAATTCAGTCAAGATACATGTAAGACAGAATGAAAAACATCTGTCTTATGGGAATTCCAAAAAGAATAAATGAAACATTTGAAAATAATTGCTAATTATTTTTAGTATTGATGAAAGGCATGAACCTTCAGTTCAGAGCAGAAAATACAAATAAACTCCAAATATATAGTAGTAAAACTACAAAACCCAAAGACAAACAGAAAACTTTAAAGGAACCTGACAAAAGACAGACTGTCTATGAAAAAATAATTAGATTGACAGAATATTTCTCATCAGCAACATTAGAAGCCAGTAGCACAGGGGTTAGCAAACTTCTGTAAAAGGCCAGAGAATAAATACATTAAGCTTTATGAGCCACATGTTGTCTACACAACTATTCAACTCTGCCATTGTAGCACAGTAACAACCAGAGACAACATCAGCACAAATGAGCACGAATGTATTCCCACAAAATTTTTCTTACGGACACTGAAAGTTGGTTTATATATAATTTTCAAGTGCTATGTAATTGTTTTCAAATGTTTAAAATGTAAACTACATATAAAGTTTAATGTAAAATGTGTGTGTGTGTGTGTGTGTGTGTGTGTGTGTGTGTGTGTGTGTATCCCTAGCTCAGTCACAGTCCATACAAAATAGTCAATGGGCTGAATTTAGTCTATGGGCCATGATTTCCTGACGGCTAGAATAGTGTTTTAAAAATATAAAGGGAAAAATAACCATTAACCTAGACTGATAAACCTAGCTAAACAATCCCTTGAAAATGAAGATAAAATAAAGACAATTTCATGCAAAGACTGAAAGAAATTCAAAGAATCTTGTAGAAAGAACTAGGAGATAGTATATTCTGAGAAGAATAAAGTTAAAATCAGAAAGAAGTGGAATGAAAGATTAAATGCTGGGAAATAAGAAGGTAAACACGAATGTATATCTACAAAAGCATTGATGGCAAAAAGTAAGAAGGATAATACATTTTTCCTTAAAAAAAACAGAGAGATGAACTGAATTGCCAGACAACAAAAATGTGAGATAAAAGGATGGTGATCAGAAGCAAAGTATTCTAACATGTTTGTATGTTTGAGCAAAGGCAATAGATGATTAAATCAACGATTCATTTGGCAAATCAATTGTTTACAGTTACACATTTAAGGAAAATCACTTCAAAGAAACATCTTTTTAATATATTTTATTTTGTTAGGTGGTTTTATGAAAGTGATATAAAATCTTCTCTATTTAAATTTTGTAAAGTGAGATCAAATATCTAAATAATATGGTTAATAAAGAGTTATGGCAAATATATTGATGTTGGTTATAACTGCAGTTCTAGAAATCTGCATAAATCTTTTTTTGAAAGCAACAGCTGCATTGGTAGACGTGATATTACTACATACACAAATATATATTTTCCCCAAAAACCAAAAGAGCCTTGCAACTGTGGAGATTATTCTAACAAATGTGCTGCCAAGTCATGTCATTGTACATTTGTCCAAACTCATAGAATGTACAACACCAAGAGTGAACCCTAACGTGAACTACAAACTTTGAGTGATAATGATATGTCAATGTAGGTTCATGATTGTAACAAATGTACCGCTCTGGTGGAGGATATTTTTGAGAGTTGGAGGCTGTCAAAGCGGGGAAGAGGTACAATAATTGATAGCAGGAAGCTGTTGAGGGGGGAAATCTCTGTGCCTTCCACTTAATTTTGTTGTGAATCTAAAACTTCTCTAAAAATTTGTTTATTAAAAAAATTCTTTTAACTTTTGCTTAATTTTTCCGTTTTTGAGGGCAGGTTAAGTATTATAATAGCTAACGTTTACTGAGCATTTGTCTTTAATCCTAGTGAAACAGATGTTATTACCCTTGTTTTATAGTTGAGGACACTGAGGCTAAGAAAATTTGAGTAATTAAGGCACACACAGAAGTTAAACATATTTCTTATCACAAGACTGAGTTGTTTTCTAGTTACTCTATTTATTTCCATTTTGTCCTAATATCTGGCTTCTAAGTACCTTCTGTTATTTTTAATTCCAAGCCTTAGAGTTAATTATTTGGGCACAACTGTCCAGAAACCAGAAACGAGGGGGCGTGGACCCAGAGACTACAAGACCTAGAATGCAATGCAGCGCCAGACAACCTAAAATGGCGGCAGCTCGCCCCTTCGCATGCTGGGAATGGTAGTTTCCTCGCTCTCCCTTCGTCCCCCGCCCCTCGAGCATCCAGATTGGAGGTTCGTCCCTACTCCCTTGCAGGGCGCCACGGCTAGACAGAGCCTCTCTTCCTTGCCTGGTCATCCCAGTTCTGGAGGCTGACCTGGGGATACGCCCTTGACGCCCTGAACCGCAGTCCTTCCGTCGCTGCTAGTCAGGCCGGCGCTACCCACCTCACGCGCAGCTCCACGACGCCGCACTCCGCGCGCTGCTGTAACGGCGCCGCACTCCGCGCGCTGCTGTAAGGAGGACGCGCAGCCTGGTCCCCATGGAAACGGTGCCACGTCCGTCACGGCGCATGCGAGAGGTCAAAGGTCAG